AAAACAGCAATGAATTGCAAATTAAGGGAAGCCAAATGCATGCACTTTATAGGATTTTAAGTAAGTAACACCTAAATTTATATTATTTTTAACAAATATTGCGGTTCTATTGTGATTTTTTTTTTTTGCACTAAGCAAAAGCATGTAGATGTTTCACTCCAGAGTCTTAATGTTTTTATGACCTTTACTGTAACCTTTGTATGAAAAAGTTAATACTTAAAGTTAATACAACATGCATGGATCTGCATGTTAGGTGGAATTCTCTCTCTTCCCATCTGTGTGGCAGCAAACCCACCTTAAGTGTATCACCCCCATTTAAAAGGCTAACATGAGGAATTTACTCTTGTTAATTGTAGTGACGAAAATTTAGAGCCTCTGCAATTTTAAAATTGGGTTTTTCCAAATTGCCATTATATTGCAAATGTGTTTACTTGCCCTGCTTACTTGCCTTTACTTGCCCAGCCCTAATTTTAAACATGGCTGGTGAATACACTACTGAATCAGTGAACACATGCATATATTGCTTGATGCCGATACAAGAAAATAAAAAAAATGATAATATCAACCAAGAGTATTGGCGTGTTGGTCTATGTCTATGGCTTTATTATATGACAATATACCTTGTTTGGTAAATTGCCATGAGGATATAGATTTGGTCTTTGAGTTTGACACTTGATTCGGGACTAGAGGTTCACCTTAAAGGCAACAACTCTACATACATGGGCCCAAGCCTTGTTAGAATGGTTTATAATAAAGATATTATTTGGTTAGCGGGGAATTGGTCCAAAGGTACATATAACTGATCATCTGTGGACTTTAATATAGGCTTAAAAATTCATTTTCACAGATACTCTCCATCTAGTGAGAATGACAGCCGAAAAATGCAATCTCACGATGTACAAAGCTGGTAGAAACCCACTTCAAATCAAGAAGGTTCTATGAATCAGTAACTTTAATAACTCCGGTTTTTATTAAACTTTTCTTACACTGCTTTGAGTCCAATAAAATCCATTACATTTTGTGATTTTTAAAAGGTTATGAATGCTTTTGCTGGGCACATGTGTTTCTACAAACGTCTTAAATGCTTCCTGATAGATGAGAGTTGGTTCTTTTTAAAGCACAAACACACAGCCAAATCAATATAATATAGCATAAATTTTTACTGCAGCAGAGAGCAGCCTTTGACTCCAACTCAGCTGCAACTCAAACACACTCAATTGGATGCATTTACATGCAAAACACTAACAGCTAAAAAAATTACAGGCAAAGTCAAAACAGCTAAGAAAATTACAGCCAAAGTCAAACTCACAGATGCTTCACTAATGATGAAATAACTCAGAACACGACACAGGAATGAATATATGAGCTGGAATCTGTAATATCAGTGATAAGAAAAGGATAAAACTCAAAGCATATTTATTCTTATTTTCCCTCTGTGCTCAGTGTTTGGAGCTGCCTTTTGGGTGTTCTTGTTCAGCTTGACTTGAGCGCTCAGTCTCCATATCCCCTTACCAGAATAAGCCTTCGCTAAAATGATCAGACCTGATCCTTGGAGTCCTTGCTAAGACTTGTGCCAAATAGTAAGAAGTTGATCCTTGCTGTCCTGACAGAGGGAGAAATGGGTCAGAGCTAAAGCAAAAAAAAAAAAAAAAAAATGTGGATAATGGAATTTATCTTTTCAGCACAGACTTTCAGGGAGAACATGAAAAAAAGCTGTTGGTTAGAAAATATTCCCTCTGTAGATATCTCCTCAAGCAGAGTAGGTTTGACAACATCTTTAAAGTTCAGACTAGATATTACACATTTTTAATAAACTGAACTAGGGCTGAAACAATTAACAGGATTAATCGATTACTGAATTAATCATCAACTAATAGGGGGAAGTGGTGGCCTAGTGGTTAGGCCATAGGGCTTTGAATCCTGAGATTGGGAGTTCAATCCCCCACTACTGTTAAACGCAGAGATAAATTTCTCCAATGTGAGATCAAAAATTTTCTATTTATTATTTTTAATTTAGTAATCAATTAATCATTTACTGGATTATAGAAACTCTAAAACATGCCTTTAGCTGACAGAGCAGTAATTGTACCAGAATTGTATTAAACATATGTTAACATTGCATTTAAGATAAAAAAAAATGTCCTCTGTCAATATGCTCTATCCCTAACTTCTCAAGTGGAAAAGTTTTAGTTTCACCTGGTTTAATTTTGTTAAAAAAATCTTCTTTAATGAACCTGGCTATCCGATTATTCGATTAATTGAAATAATAATCATCAGATGAATTGATTTGCAAAATAATCGTTAGTTGCAGCCTTAATTCAGACCCTCTCTTTGTGAAGATTATTTTATTTTGAAGCAATCAATGCATGGTTAAAAATTAGATGACAGTTCACTCTTCAAACTTTCTAATTTCTGCTGAGTTTTCACAGAACTATAGAGGTATTAATTATGTTGATTATAAACTGTCCCTAATATTTTGTTAAATGGTTTCCATCCATCCATCAAGCTAAAACATTCAAACTGTCCTGAATAATAATTAAATATACTCTAAGTTATTCAAGTCAGCTCTGACTGTTATTTTTAGCCTATGATTTCGCTGCTCGTATTTTCTTGAATTATGTATGCGTATCTGGACTTCCATTAATGCAACAGTTTCTCTTTTATTTCCCCAGTTTAAATAATTAAATCTATTAATGCAAATATATTTGTTTTACAGGACGACTACTTCAGGAATGCTGACGAGACCGCCGGCTCTGATCAAAGTAAGTGCTGAAAAATGTGAACTTTTCTCTGTAAAATCAGATTAATCACAGCTTTTATTTGAAGTGTCCTTCAACACTCTGTGTAAAGACCATTTTGCTATACTTTCTACTAAAGTTCACCATCACAATAACATTTAGGGAAAAAAAATAAAAGTATGCCTTTTGGCATTATGCATAATTTCAAAGCATTTAAATGGCGTCATGCACATTATAAGAGTTGGCTTTTTTAGTACTTGTTGAGGTCAGGCAGCTGGTGGGGAGCACTCGATCGTGGTGTCTGAGCTTTGTTGAAGGTGAGAACGCAGCTGTGATTCAGAAAAGTAGAGGTTGTGCCTTCAGTTGGATCCATTAGTTTGAAAAAAAAAAAAATCTAGCTATAATTGCTTTTTGTTGCTGATGGCTCAAGTAAGAACTCCCACCAGGGTTCATTGCCATCCACAGGGGTTGGTTCCTTGCTAAGAAAAAGAAAATCTCACCTTTCAAAAATTAACTGTGTAGGAAGAACAGAGAACATGTGAATGTGAAGTTTAGTTCCCAGAAAAATATTATTTACTCAAGACCCTTTAGAAAATGTAGTCATGGAGAATGTACTTTTACAGGTTTTCCACCAGTTTTGAAGACATTTAGGGATCTAAAATAGCAGAAAAAGTGTTTATACTCCCAGTTAAGGACATGTAAAAGTATCAATCTGATTTTGAAGTATAGCCTCCAAAATTTGAATCATAAGAAGACATCCAAACTGGCTTGTCACTCCAGTATCTCCTTTTAGAAAATGAGAACTCCATAGATTATTACACATGCAGATCAATATTTTCAACTCTGTATTTCATATAATGTGGATATAAATATTGCTTACAAAGAGAAAAAAAACCCACATATGTGGAAGAATATTAGCGCCAGTAAAAAAACAACAACTTAGAAATTTGACTTTTTTTCAGGAACCCTAATCATCGTCCATAATACAGCAATTTCTTACATAAAAAAGAACTTCAATAAATTTGTTATTTAAATAAAATTCCTATAAAAATGAAGAAAAACTGTTTTAGTTCTAACTAGGTTTTAAAATAAAGATAAATAATTGCAAGAAGGAGATGTAAAACTAAAAAATAGTGAAAACCTTTTTTATTTTTTTGAACTGTATTTAATAACACAACTTGGTCCATGGTCAGTTTTCTGGTTATCAGGGGCCAGTGAAGACGGTCCAAAGAGTCAGCTGCAGCTGTGGTGCTACAGGTTGCAGATCCCTACTCTTGAATTATCTAACAATTAAAGAAAACAAAACTCTTACACAATAAAAAAACGGTTTAACTGCTACTTTTACCTCATTTATAACCCCTTTCTATATAAAATAATGTAATCTTTATGTGTCTTTGTAAATAAATGATGTGCTTTTTAAAACTTTGCAATATTGCAACGCTTATGCTGCCAGGGGTTATTTTGTTGTACCTGTGAACAACTTTGATGGTGTTAAATGAATGAAAGGAAATTATGAAAAGCAAAAAAGGAAACAGCATTGACATTTGAGTTTTTAAAGTTGAAAAGTTCAAACTGCATCATGATTGTATTAATTATATGTAAGATTAATAGGCTTTGTAATTTAAAAGAGGTTTATCTAAACCTCTACCAAAAAGTCATTGCAACACCAAATTGATTACCAAATAAAAGTAAAAAAGCTAGAAAAACAAACTACTAAAACACGCCTGAGGGTTACATTGAATGAAATATAAACAGAGCTATGTACCATTGATGTCAAATGAGCATCTTGAACCTTTTCTTTAGACTGCCTGTTAATATTCATGCTTCTGCGGTCTTAAACGATAAAGAATTTACTAGCAAAGTATAAGCTTTAAGCATTGCCATGCTTCTGCTACTTTTAGGTGTGCTGCTCCCAGATATTGGAGCTTATCACTGACCTTTAGCTGGAGTGTTTAGAGGGTTGGACTTAACACCTCCACCATGCTGCCTTAAAATGTGAAAAATTGGCTCAAGACTTTTTCCAATTATCTACACAGTCAACTAGAGGAATAACTAAGGAAAAAAAAGGCTTTATTTGCCAAAGGTGGGCATTCATTCAGTGTGGTTGAGTTTATCCCCAATGACAGCTCCCTGTGGGACTAATTCTGAAGATTTATTTAATCAAAATATATCTTTTCAAACTTAAACCACAGGTTAGGTGTATAGTAGCTGAATTGAAAGAAATGAAAACCCCAATGGAAAACCTCAGACTATGGCTTTGCCTTTAATGTAAGCTGATTAAAACATTAGATGGGCCCCAACAAGGGTCTTTAAGGAGGGTTTGATACTTTGACTTAAAACAGAAGCTGCCATGCTTGATCCTGACATATTTTCTACCTACAATTTGACATTCTTTTGCTTAAATATTTAAATAAAAAATATTAACCCATGTCTCTAACTTTTGCACATCTAAGAATATAAGAATGTTATGACCTAATAGTTTAATATATCTCGCTCATTAACATTAGATTTTTGGAGCAATTGCTTTGTAGTGTGCTTTATTGTGTGCAAAACCATTAAATCTCGGATGCTCTGACTGATTATCCTGTGTAGATCCAAGGCCAGATGTCCTGTTGAGGATTTCAACATGCAGGTGATTTGATATATAAAAACAGATTGAGTTTTTACATTCATACTGTGGTAACATGATAATAATTGAATAGAACAAATGCTATATATCAAGCCTAAGACATATTCCTTAAATGCTTTAGTTTATCAATCAAATTTTAAAATGAGATATTGGTCAGATTGTTCCTCTCTGTTTAAGTAAACACCCAAATTTTACAGTTTTGGTTATAATCAGGTGTAGGATTAGCGTTGGCTGGTTTAGATAAGCTTTTCGCGTTACAAATGAAATGTAAGATTGAAACTGAATTTGCTCTTTTTTTTGTCCAATTTCTTTCAACTAAACAAAAAGGCTATATAATTATTAGTTTCAAAAGTGATATTTAATGCTATATTGCTGGTCTTTACGTATTTTGTCTCTTTTGTTTTAAATGGCTCTGCTGCTGCTTCAGGAGAAACTCTATTTATTCTACCAATCCTCCATTCAGATTTAACACGTCTAAATAATCTACAACCTTAAAACCTCAAACTACATATCTTTACAGTTCAGTGTTTTTTAAACTTTTCATTTTCCATGAGTCCCCATAACCCTACTGAAACAGAAGGACCCAGTAACTTTCCACCCATGACTTTTTTATGTAACAATAATAGTAAAAATATACATATTATGGAAGATGTATTTATTATTTGAGACTAGTTAAGCCTTAATTAAGATGGACCATTGAGCATTTTTGCTCAAAAGTGCAACTAAATCTGTTCAGTCAAATCATGACAGAGCAGAGCTGAGTAAAACTGTTGTGATTGCAAAAGCTTTTTTATGGTATGTTAGTGCAAATTTTATGAGCCCTGTGCACAGCATAATTCTCGTTATACGGGCTTGGAGCCTTTTAGCAAAGCCTTTATGTTACAATTTCACTCTGGAGGGGATTAAAGTTGTTCCGAAATTGTTTTTCTACCTCAGTCGGAGGTAGAGCTCACATACATGGGTTTGCAATCTAGTTAAGAGCGAGAGTTAAAAAAAAAAATCCACTCATAATGATTTTTCTTTCAAGGCATTTTTTTTATGTTTTCATTTTAACAGGTTGCAGATATTTGTACAAGTATATTCAGACTGTAGCAAAGCATAGCATAGCTCATATATTGGTTGATAAGATAGATCACATTTAAATAACCTAAAGTTAGATCAGTAACATATCACATTATTCATTCTTAATTAAAAAGGAACCGTAAGACCTTTAGCTATTGATCAACATTTATTCATATTTATTGAGGGATCAGATAGATAGATAGATAGATAGATAGATAGATAGATAGATAGATAGATAGATAGATAGATAGATAGA